TGTTCCAGTGCAATGTGGGCTCAAGGTGGCCACACAGTGGGCTCTCCTCCTCGTTCACCCTGACCAGACCTCACGGCCTCTGAGCACAGCCAGGCTGCCAACCTGGGCAGCCAACTCACACAGCCACGAGGGCCACTGAGCCAGGGCACCAACCTTTTTATTCACCTATTACTAGATACAAATATTTACCAAGTGCTTGCTTTAGAGCCGTAGTGCATGGGCAGAAGGGCAATCAACTCCCTGAGCTTCAATGAGCTGGGAATTTGCCTGGCTCTCCTGACTCCCAGATCACACTGATACCTGAAATATGCACTGTGCATATAAAAGGGAATAATGAATACTGGGAACGTGCCAATCTTACCCAGACTGTCCGACTTCTCTCCCTGTTAATACACATGCACCTGCCGCTGACATCAGGATTTCTCATTTACTCAAGTTTTGACCCAATAACAAGCACACACACCCAGAGCACAGCCTACCGTCTCATCGTTGCATATTGAATGGATCTGGGTGCCAAACATCACCGCAGTGAAAGTGAAAAACAGAAGACCCTCAAGGCACAGGAAGATCAACAGGATTACGGTTATTGGAGGTGAAAAATCACTGCATTCTGTGAATGAGAAAAAGCTGGTATAACTAGACATCAGAACCCAACAAACATCTCAAACTCAGGCTGGCAGGGCAGACAGCTCCAGCAAGACTCCTTCAGTGCCAGCCCTCGGCCAGCTCCCACGGAGGGATGGACATGCTGACTCTGGACACAGGCACCTGCACTGCTCTCCAAAAGGCAGAGGCAGGAGGCCCTTTCAAGCAGAGTTCATACCACCATCTCCTGGCCAGCAATTTCAAAAGATTCTGTATTACCTACGGTTCCTAGTGAAAATGTACATGTCTATTAAGTTGCTTATTAAAATCCAACTAAAGCTGGATTAGATAAGAGCTAGATAAGAGTCCTGTATCTGCACTTGTGAGCTATCCTCACAGGACTCCCCACCAGCTCCCGAGGTGAGGGGGAACCTAATTAAATACCCATGGCAAGGTAATTCAATGCCTGATTTTACTACACTTGTTTGAATCCACTCATGTTAAGTAATGCAAAGGACTGCTCTGGAAAGTGTGAGCTACCTAACTAGAAAGCAAATACAAAGTTTGGTGGAAACAATACTAATTTATTTCCCTGTAGTCTCAAAAATCTGCCATAGAAACTAAACTAGCAAAATGGTGGTGCTGAAACTTCACCATCTTCTTTTCTTTACAAACTCAATTCCTGAATCAATTGCAAGGATTTCTTCCAAATCTTTAAAGCTTTCCTCGTTCCCCTCCCCCGCAGCGTGCCCTTGTAGGAATGACAGACAGAGTCGCAGCTTACCCGTCCACTGCCCTCGGACACAGGAGATAAACTGAAACCCACAGAGAATCAGAGCGTGGACTGAAGACAGAGCTATGTACATCTGGAATGAGGGGGAGCTGGTTAGTGACTCGCAGACAGCTACCTTCCTAGGAGCAAAGGCTGGGGAAGCATTATGTTTACGCTTCCATTTTATTGGTCAGAAAAAAAAGAAGCGATAAATTGCAGTAGTTGACATTTGCCTACCCAAGACCATATCAGACCAAGTAAAATAATTCTCTAGAAATATGTTCAATAAAGCCAGGTACAGTGGCTCCCACCTGTAATCCCGGCACCCTGGGAGGCTGAGGGGGGAAGATCCCTTGAGCTCAGGAGTTTGAGGCCAGCCTGAGCAAGAGTGAGACCCCATCTCTACTGGGCATGGTGGCAGGCACCTATAATCCCAGCTACTCAGGAGACTGAGGCAGGAGGATCACTTGAGCCCAGGAGTTTGAGGCTGCTGTGAGCTAGGCCGAGGATGAGGCCATGGCACTCTGGCCCAGGTGACACAGCAAGACTCTGTCTCAAAGAAAAAAAATATATACGTGTGTGTGTGTGTGTGTACACACACATTATAGAGAAATAAGCTCTAACAGACTTTAGGAGAATCCTACTAACAGTGGTGACTTAGGGCGTCTGCGAACACCTGAAATGACATGAGCTCATCTCCGCCCGGGGCTGCTTCCCACCCCGACAGCACGGTGCTCTTAACAGAACGCGGATCCCACAGAGAAAAGTGAAGAGACACTGGTCTGGCCTTAGAATAAATTTCCCTGATCCAGATCTGATTCAAGTTAAGGAATTTTTAATTCAATATAATTCACTACAAAAATAATTTTACTTACAGTGAAGAGCACAAAAAATCTCTGATTCTTTTCTCCTACACAATTGTTCACCCACGGGCAATGATGGTCCATTTTCCGAATACATCTTTTGCAAATACTGAAAAGGAGAGTGTGATTTTCAGTATTTCATGCTGAGGAGACCAGAGTAACCAACCAAACGTAACCCAAGGTGGAGGAAAATTAGCATAAACATTCTCATGCCTGTGTCAAAGAACATCTAAGACACACTCACTAGACTTCTTCAGAGTCTATCATTTTAATGCATTAGCTGTTTCCTGTGTCCTGAGCGAAATGCTCAACGGTCTAACAGGTTGAGAGGCAAAAGTTATGCTCAGCCACATTCCACAGGGCTCCAGACTCTCCCGGGGGGCTGGACCTCGCATGCCTGTCAATACTGTTCCTGATTCTGCACATTTCCAAGTTGCAAGTCTACTTCAATTAAAAAAAAAAAAAAATCGACCTTTTGCCTTCAAGGAAAGGAAAATTCTTGGTATCTTCAAACTCTTCATCTCAAATCAGCCACCTCTATACCCAGGCATAAAGTCGTCATGTTTTTACAGTTGTATATTATTTTTGCCCCAAACATCCTGTATATCCAGTTTTAAATAACTATTTTTTTTTTTTTAGAAATAGCTTGTGCCATGTAGTTACATTGGGGGAACGTCGATGGCAGCAGGTTTCTTAACTCCACTAGACTTTCGACAACAGCATCTCCGCTGTTCCCTGACTCGGCTTCTCTCCTGACCTCTATCACACCCAGCTTCCCAAACGTTCCCACTTCGTCTTTTTAAGCAGATCAATTGAAGAATAATTTACATACCACAAAATCTCACTCATTTTAACTGTACAGCATGACGATTTTTATTATATTTACACAGTTGAGAAACCTTGTGCCCATATGCAGTCACGCCCCAGCCCCACCCAAGACAACCACCCATCTGCTCTCCCACACGGCTTTCTCCTTTATTCACTTTCTGGCCAGACTGTGTGGATATAAACTTTCTAGAACTTTCAGAACAGCCAGAAAGTAGCCAGAAACCCCCCTCATACCTCCTTCCTCCACGCAAGGCCGTCTCCAGCTCAGCCCCATTCGTCCCTCCCGGTAAATCATGACCCTTGGGTGAAAGGCCCTGTCACTCTGACAGTACAGAGACATGTGACAATCACTTCAAGCAGTGGCGGAAGACCCCAGACTGTCGAAGTCCAACACCTGAGATCAGTGCCCAGCCCTCTAGGACAGACGCACTGCCTCAAAGTCAGGAGTGGGCAGAGGTGGGTGAAGTGGACAAAGGGCAACCAAGACCAGCAGGGGGTGAGGAGAGAGCCAGAAGTTCTCCATGAGCCGACAGTCCAAGGACATGTAAACAGTTAGACCATATTTTTCTGAAATGCAATAACTGGTATCTGAGAGCATATCCAAAAGAACCTTGCGTCTACCCTGCAACACATCACACCTGCTGTGAACAAAAGCTAACACTGACCGCCCCTCTATTCATCTGGCTGGAAGGAGCCAGGAGCAAGAGTGAGGGAAGATTCTAGGCCTTTTTACGGGACTCCACACAGGACGCGCCCAGGAGGGGCCAGCCTGAAACTTTCTCTGGTTATCACCCCACAAGTTCCCTCGGAGAGGAAGGGATTCTGAAGTCTACACTGTCTCCCAGCTCCTGGCAAGACCGAGGCCTTAGCTGGCATTGGCCCTTGGCCTCAGCTCTCCACCCGGGAGGGAGAATGGCTGTGCGGAGGCCGCCTCTGCTCCGGCGCAGCCGCGGTACCTGCAGTGGTGGGCGCGCTCGGGCTTGATACAGCAGCACTTGGGACACTTGTAGATCACCTCCCCCGGCTTCAGCTGCAAACTCTCCATGTATTCTTTTGTAGCATTTCCTTTGGGTACTGCCCCCTACAGCATAATAGCAATGTATTTTAGTGGGAGAGAAGGAAAAGTTAAAAAATCAACAAATGTAGGAATTAATCTTAGATTTTATAGATCATCTAATAATTTATAATGCCGTGGTTGCCACTTGAAGTCTGTTAAATATGAAAAATTAACTATTAGTTGGGTAGGACCAGAAGTTTTATTTTCCACCAAAAATATATGTATTAAATAAACAAAATCTCTTATTATCCTCTTTATAAAGTGCTGAATCACTTGAGTGTTTCCTAGCTTACTGCTGGAGGCAAGGTCTGTTCGCACACAAGGGCGCAGTCTCGGGCAGGGCAGGGCAGGGCGTTTCTGTCAACACCGTTTCCCTCTCACCCTTCTAAGGGAGAGGGGTTTAACTATTAAGTCCCGCCAGGGTTTTCCTATCAGGGGCAGGAAGGGAACAATGAACAAAGCAATCTTAAGAAGGACTTTATCTGTGTTGAAGTTTTGCAATACACTGTCTCTATGCCAACCTTCTCGAAGCATTCACAGGCCTGGCAACTGCAGCCCAGACCACCTGACTCAGTTGTGTCTAACATGAGGCAGTCTCTTGGGAGCAGTGTCAGAAGGCACAACCAGGCACTTGCCTGCACCCCCAAATGCTGGAGGAGCCAAATATGGGCAATGGGAGAGCACTGGCAAGACACGTTAGGATGCTGTGAGCCGCCAGCAAGGGGCAGAGCACCAAAGGCCAAGAGTTACTTGCTCAGTCCCAGGTCCACTTGAGACCGGACGCAGGGCATGAAGCCTCCTGCACAGCGGGCAGCTGAGGCCTGCACTGGCCACAACAGGGAAGGCTTTGCTCTCTGGGCAGTAGAGATGCATAATGGAACCCAGGGTTGTGGGAGACTGTTCTGGAAGCTACAGCAGGGTGGAGGAAGACAGGCAGACCTGCCTGGGAGATGCTAACGTGTAAGGAAGGGAACATGGTCTTCTACCGTTTCTCCACGGGGAGGGGGCACACTTCGTGCAGAAGTGCCCGAGTCTGGGCAAGCTGACCCCTGATGACATCGGAGTCCAAGGGTGCAGTGGCTCCACAGAGACCAAAGGAAGGCCTGGGAGACCATGGAGGTGGACGCAGAAGCCCCTCGGGACCCTTAAAGCTACAGACCAAATCTCTGCATCACCCACATTTCAGGTGCACTCCAGAGCCAGAGCCTACTGGATTCAAGGGCCCAGGAGGCAGAGCTGGCCAGAGGCAGCGCCAGGCAGTGAAGTCCCTGAGAATATAAGCGGGGACAGGAGGGGACTGAACGGCAGATGAAGTGTCCCCACCTGGACCCCATCACAGTGAAACATGGATAAGATCCTAGTTTTTCTGAAGACTCAAACTGCCTCCTTAAGGAAGTTCAAAATATTAAGCATTTAAATTTTGTCTTTGAAAATTTAGAACAAGGAGAGCATTTTACTTAACTTATATACCACAATTTGGAATTTTTAATCAACTTTCTCCATGAATCCAGGAATCCTGATGATGGTTATGATTTTATAAAATCTCATAAACTCAGGTGTTGAGTCTTTAGTAAGAGGAAATGGTCCAGAATTTAAAATTCCAAATACCTAATCTTTATGAAAGACACTTTCCCACAGTAAGCAAATGTGCCATCAGGCACAATATGCTTCTGGGAGGCAGATACTCCAGTTCTATCCATTTTTCACTTATGACCTATGTTATGAAGGGGTCAAGTGAGCCTTAAAGACTTGTGCTCCTGCGTGGGATTCAGGAGCTGCTGGTTCCAGGTGCTCCTCTGTTATTCACTAGGCAGCAGGGAGAGCCAGGGCTGAGTGTCTCTTGCCTCTGTCCTCCTTCCCAGCAGTCCCAAAAGCCCATGCCACAGCCTGCCAGGGGGCCAGAGGCACCCCTGCCCTTGGGTTCCTCACATTCCTCCAGCCTCAGTTTTATGCACAAGGACTCCCAGTCATCTCTGTAACTGTAGTATGGCTGACAGTGACATCCAAATGGACAAAGAACTCAAACAGATGTTCCTCCAAAGAAGAGACAGGGACGCCCGACGAGCACATGAAATGATGCTCAGTGTCATCACAGGTCTGAGAAATGCAAATCAGAACCTCAGTGAAGGACCATGGCACAAAGGATGGACAGTTACAAGTGGTCAAAGATGTGGATGCAGCTGGCGGGATGTAAAATGGCATGGCCACTCTGGAGAAGGGTTTGGCAGTTCCACAGAAAGCTCACACAGAGTGGCCACATCATGGCAACCCCAGGAGAAATGAAACCTCCATCTATGGAAAAAACTGGTATTTTTTTACCTTCAACTATGTAAAAACCAATGTTCAAAGCAGCCTTACTCCTAAGGGCCAAAAAGCAGAAACAGCTCAGATGCCTAACAAGTGATAACGGCTCTAAACACTGTGTGGCACCCACACCCCAAGCATCACTCAGCAATGGAGAGGAACCACAGGCTGAGGTGTGTACAGTACGAACCTCAAAGATGGACGCCAAGTGCACAAAGCCAGACACGGACGGCCACATACCGTGTGCCTCCCTCCATTCGGGTGAAACGCCAGAATATGCAAACCCCGGAGAAAAAAGCCGACCAGTGGGTGTGGGATCTGGGGTGTGATGGCCAAGGCAGTGAAGCTTCTCTCTGAGATGATAAAAATGTCCTGAAATCGACTGTTGTGACGGCTGCACAACTCCACGGAGCTGCTGGAAACCCCTGAACTACACACTATACAAGGCCGACTCTGGGGCAGTCAGAACACCTAGGACAGCCGCGAGGTCAGGCTTCCCCTCTGCCGCACACCTTCCACCCACGGCCCTCATTCAGCATCCCCTGCAGGGACACAACAGCGGCAGCAAGCCGAGCCCCGGGGCAGCGCCCTGCACACGCCCGCCAACCACTGCCTTGCCACCTCCAGCTCTCAGGGTCCCTGTGAGTTCTGAGGGCTCCTCCCTACAGGAGGAAAAGGGGTGGGTGCGGCAGCTGGTCTGCTCAGTGGCCAGAGAGCCCCAAAGCAGAGGAAGGGACAAGTGGTCTCATTAGTTGCAACAAACTGCCAAGAGAAGCCTCAGTTTGCTGACCCTCCTCCCATGTCCCCACCCTGCACTCACAAGCAAAAAAGCTTTGTACAGGGCCCGCTGTGGTGGCTCATGCCTGTAACCCCAGCATCTGTAAGTCCAAGCCAAGCGGACCCCTTGAGCTCAGGAGTTCAAGACCAACCTGGGCAAGAGTGAGACCCCCATCTCTACTAAAAATAGAAAAACTAGACAGGCATTGTGGTGGTCACCTGTAGTCTCAGCTACTCAGACGCTGAGGCAGGAGTATCACTTGAGCCCAGGAGTCCGAGGATGCCGTGAGCAAGGCTAACAGCGTGACACTCTAGCCTGGGCCACAGAGTAAGACCCCATCTCAAAAAACCAAACAACCCAGCTTTGCACAGACATGGTCTCACCATACAACTGTCCATGAAGGATGGATCTGGCCCACTTTTAACAGTCCAAGCAGGTGGTCAACAGTGACTAGGCTTTTCCTACAATGAAATATTCTAGTAAAAATCTCTGACCTGGGCTCTGTCCCTGTCACTCTGCATAATCTAAGTGCCCACTGTGAGGTGTTTCTCTTTCAGGAAGAAAGAGAGAGGATGGGGATGCTGGGGATCAGGAGCAGGGCTTGGCTGGAGAGGGAGCCTTTTGCTGCATAAAAGACAATGAGATGACCCTTTAGAAACCCCTGAAAACCCGTCAGGGAAGAGACTTGGTTATGGTCAAAGACTCTACAATTTCATCAGACTTCCAAACCACTGGCAGACTTTGCTTCCAAGTGTGTCCCCAAGGGACCGCTCCCCAGCTGACCACTGGGTTGAGCCTATAATACTATCCTATTCCCAGGGACAGGCTACCCAAGAACCTTTCTAACCAAACAAGAGATAAAGTAAATAACATCTGTCAAAATCTCTTGTAATAAAATTCAGGAAAATCCACATATAAACCAGCTTCCATGAGGCTGATCAGTATCGGTTCATTCTCAAGAGAGTCCTAATCTTACACATAAAGCTACGATTGTGCCACTGCACCCCAGCCAGAGACGGAACGAGGCTCCATCTAAAATTAAATAAATAAAAAAGTTGCACAATAAGACATTAACTTCTCACTTCCTCCTTTAGAGAAGCTTACAAATAGACACAAGCCCATTAGATTCCACGTTATAAACCAAGAATCCCTGTAGCAGTGGTTGAAAATCATTGTTTTAAAGCAGTGAAAAGGCCTTTTTTTCTTTTTAAGACAGAGTCTCACTCTGTCACCCTGGGTGGAGTATTGTGGAGTCATCACAGCTCACAGCAACTTCAAACTCTTGGCCTCAAGTGATCCTCTTGTCTCAGCCTCCTGAGTAGCTGGGGCTACAGGAGCCCACCACAACACCTAGCTATTTTTAGAGACAGGATCTCACTCTTGCTCAGGCTGGTCTTGAACCCCTGGGTAACCCTTCTGAGCTCTGGGGGAGCCTGCGACCTCCGTCTGGAGGTGACTGGTGGCTGAGCTACAAGGACCTGTGTGGTGGCCCCTGATGTTCTTCCCTAAGCAAGGCGATGCCTCAGAACCCAGAGAAGCAGCCGTACACCAGTGTGGAAACTGGATCAGGCAGCCCACAACACGCTGGGAACTAACAGCAGTTCCCAACTAACAGCTCTGACCCATCCTTGTTCTTGGCCTGAACATACGCTTCTTGTTCCCACACACCAGTAGCGTCCTCCCAGGGCACAGTACCTAAATGCTACATGCCTGGCTTCCGCCAAAGTGACAGGACACACCAGATGAGGGTAGGACTCATCCTTCCTCTGCTTTGCAGGCAGGTTGAGCCTTTACCTTTTACCAGCTAGCTGAATACAACATTTGCAACAGACTTTAGCAGAGACATAACAATGAGAGAACTACAGGGTCAGAAAAAAACATCTCGCCTTGGTCCAGAGAAGTTACAATTAGTAGCTTATGGTCAAAAGACAACTGAAAATGACTTAGCAAAGTGGTGAAACCTAGAAACCAGGCCTCTCAGCATTCAGTCCATCCTTTCGAGAAACAATATTTAAACTAGAAGTGATGTTAGAAATTATCGAGCACAAACTCTTCATTGATTTAAGCAGCCCAAGCCAAGCGCAGTGGCTCACACCTGTAATCTTAGCACTTGGGAGGCTGAGGCAGGTGGATTACCTGAGCTCACAGGTTCAAGACCAGCCTGAGCAGAGTGAGACCTCGTCTCTAAAAAGCAGCCAGGTGTTGTGTCCCAGCTACTCATGAGGCTAAGGCAAGAGAATCACTTATAGCCCAAGAGTTGGAGGTTGCTGTGAGCTGTGGTGCCACGGCACTCTACCAAGGGCAACAAAGTGAGATTCTGTCTCAAAAGAAAAAAAAGTAAAAATAGCCCAGAGGGATAATATTAATGTTTTCTATCAATACACCGTGAGATCACTGGTATTTAAGCAATGCTTCTTCTCCAGTAAAGATGTGAAATATGCTACAGGCCTGAACCCAAGAATTCATAAAAACCTGAGGTTATATGAACAACAGGCCCCTGGCCACACAGCCTGGCGTGACACGCCAAGTACTCACAGGGTCGGTGAGCATGGTCCGCAGGTGAGACGACAGGGCGAGCACAGCCAGGCAGTTGAAGATGACCCCGTTGACCACGGAGTACCAGAAGTCTTTGGAAGGCAGCAGCATGACAAACGTCACCACAAAGTCTGCATAGACGACCAGAAGCCACGTCATGACGGCACAGATCATGCCACAGCTGTCACGTATGAACCAGACCCTGTCTGCCATGTCAGCCTCAGAGGAAGAGGAGGATGACGAAGAGTCATAATTGTCGTTTTCAGTCAGGAGAGGATGATGCTCGACGTCCCGGAGCCTGTGTCCTGATGGCTGCATGATGTCCCCGACACACCCTGGGGTCAACACAGAGCTGGTGAGGCTCGAGAGAGGAGCACATGCACTCATACAAAGCTGACAGGTGTGCACACACTGGGGCACAAGATGCCGGGAACATGACGCGTTCCTCAGCTACAACATTAGCCTACGTAACACGGCAGAAAAGAACATAAAACTTGACTAGCTAAGATCTGAACTTTTACATCTTTCACCTAACGACTGTCTTACTCTGTACCGCATAGTAAGTCCCACAGTATAGGTTACGCCTGTTTATAGAAACTGCCACACACAAGGATAACGCAAAGCACAGCTAGATGCAGAGTCCCCCGCACCCAGGCTCCCTCAGGGTGGACAGACCCTGTCGTGCCCATCTACACTCTGGCTACCCGGCAGCCCACTGGGCAGCTGCTCAGCGCAGACAGTAACGGAGGGCGTGGAGAGAGCAGTGAGGCGATGAGGGTTCCCCACGCACCTGCACCAGCTCCCTCATTTCTCTGTGGCTGTGTATCGTGGTAGGTCCCCACTTTTCTCTCTACGCTTCTTGACTCTATACTGTGCTTCTGGAATGTCTCCTTCACCTTGATTTTAATCTTTCTAAAGTCTCCTTTGCTTATTAATCCATTTTTTATGAGCTACTCTTTTGATACCTTTCTCCTATTCCCTATACCATCTGATTTCCAAGAACATACAGGGTCCAAGGAAACTAAAAAAAGCTGCATTTTTCTTACTGTCTTCATGGCTTCTTTAAATTTGCCACCTTCTCTCTTCAGTGTCTGATGTAAGAGTTACAATGCTCATGACAGATGACAAGCAGGAGAAAGGAAGAGCCACAGCTGAGTATGTCTGAGCTTCCTCACAGGGGGGGAAGACACCGACAGGCAGGAGCTCTCCTGGCCACTAAGCAGCCCGGGGGCAGAGCGTGTGGCCTCTCCACTGTGAAAGGACAGTGCTGGGCACGCAGGGCGCAGGTGCTACGGCTGACAGTGTCATATTGGGGCTGGACTTTCCCCCCTAAATTCAACTGGAACCTAGCAAGTGTGAAAACATCTAGTAAATGGACTTGCTGGGGAGTGTTCAGGCTCCAGTTTTTTTGTTGTTGGGTTTTTTTTGTTTGTTTTTTGTTTTGCAGAATTTCTCTCTCAGTATAAAAATACTGACAGGTACAAGAGAAAAATGAAATGGTTTTCCAAAGTCAGTAAAACAGCTCTACTCTTGAGTCAGACAAAAATGGCTTCTAAAAATGTTTAAGTAAAAAAAAGAAAACAGTTTAAGAACGCAGAAGAAACAGAAGAGCAAAACAGTCTGGGCAGCCCTGACCCACGGCTCTTTCGGGAGCGTTCGCTGGTGAACTCTTCCCCAGCTGTGCACTCAGTGCCCTGCAAACCCCTCTGTGGAATCCGTCACCCGGGATGGTGATGGGTCAAACACGATGCTCACGTGCTTTCGTGACAAATCTGTAAGGGCCACCAGAAGTCAACAGGAGAATAACCTGAGATCCAAAAATCACTTTATTTTCAAGACAGCAGTCAGTGAGCACAGCAAGGGTGGCCTGGGCGACTCAGTTCTCTGCAGCAAAGCAAAGGGGCATCTGCCGAGTCGTGGTCTCTACACTCACTGATGCAACAGGAAGGGAGGGGAGGAAATGAAGAAACCATTCCTCCACTCGGAGGTCATCTAAAAATACCAGGAACTGGAGAGCAAACAGCAGCGTGAGATGCCACACTAAAACGCACCCACTGGTCGGTGAGGACACGTGCTCGCTCTGCGCTCAGCACCACGTCCCTGCTACCTCAGACTCTCAAAGCCGTTTCCGAGGGACCCCACGGCACCAGCGCTGACTGCCGGCTGCTGCCATCACCGCTCTTTTCCTTAACGGCCACGTAACCGGATTGCATCACATTCCTGAACCCAAGCGCTTTATCTCCACATTAAATAAAGGCCTGCTTCCCAGAACACTAAAGCAACGCTGCACGATTTAAGGGGACAAGCACACAGAATACATCTTTCCATTTTCTTTACGCTTGAATACTCGCCTCACCTTGCAACACTGTAAACTGTCATTCAACTCAGGGGATGCTCCCCCTGGAGACAGCGTCCCTTCAAGGACAGGACAACAGGTGAAAACAAAGATGTACTTGTTGCCGGTGACCTTTGTGCCCCTGCATCTGTGTTTTACCACTCACTTTATATTCGCAAACACGTACGAGTTAAAATCAGCTGTGAGAACGGAAACCGTGATTCAACACCGAAGTAGAGACGATCTACTTACCTCACCAGTTATTTCTAAACATCACTTGGACATTTTGTGCCTTTTCTTCAAGATCTTAAGGTGCATACTGTCCTATGTGATAGGATCTGAAAGATAAGAAAATCTGATCAGAAAGTTATTTATGATAGAAAAGTACAGAACATATCTTAGGGTATGATTTTTAGGGCACATATGAGCAACGTAACACGACACTTTACATGTAAAGTTCTATCATTCAGAACTATCCTGAACTGTGAAATCACTGCTGGACTGAGCTTTGATTCCTAGGTATACTGATAATCCTAGAAATCAAGCCATTTATTTAAAATGTTTCCATTTTGCCCTTTTGCTTTTTCAGCCTCAGTGTTAAATACAAATCTATAAGCCAAAATCCCTCAACAAAGATCCCCAGGGATAATCCCGACCAGTCCGACTAGCCCACACTTCTCCCACCAACCAACTGGCTTACTAGACCCACTAAAGAATTACAGAGAAGACAGGAGGGGAAGCCGGAGAGGAGGTGCTGGCTGGGACTGCAGCCTTGCTGGGCGCAGGAGCTGGGACGTGAGGGCGCCCCACCCACTGCGAGCTTCTCAGCACGGCTCCCACATGGCTCTGAGAATGCTGCACACAGGGGGAGTAGAGAAATCCTCTCTCTTTTTTTTTTTTTTTTGGCAGTTTTTGGCCAGGGCTGGGTTTGAACCTACCACCTCCGGCATATGGAGCTGGCGCCCTACTCCTTTCAGCCACAGGCACCACCCAGAGAAATCCTCTCTTGAAGAACTAATCTGGCCTGAGAGAAAAGGTCTAAAGACATAAAGAAGCAGGGTAACCCCAACAAAAAGGTCATATTCACTGCAAGACTTTTCCAAGATAAGGGCCAGCAGGAGACACCCTGCTGGTGGACAGAGAAGTTCTAAATGCTTGTCACAGCTCCGTTATAAAAATGAAGAAAGCCCAAATATGTCTCATGAACGACAAGGCTCAAGAAAGAAACGGAGAAAGGAATTCAGAAGAGGCAGATGCCTCAGAGAGACTTCAACAGCACACAGCCCTACTAACTATTCTGAAAAATAAGAGAAAAGATGTTATCTGTGAAAGAAAAAGAGGAACCGTCTGAGAACTTCCTGATTATTGAAAAATAGAAACATGACAGAATTTAAAAAATGTAAAAATAGGATTGGACAAGCACTTGTAGAAATCTCCCAGAAAGGAGAACAAAAGAACAAAGAGGAAGCCCTAAGGAGAGGATATAAGACACAGCGAGGGATCAGGCCAGGGTGTCCACCTTCAAACGCAGCAGAGGGCCTGCCAGGGTGTCCACCTTCAACCCAGGGTGTCCACCTTCAAATGCAGTAGAGCGGCCTGCCAGGGTGTCCACCTTCAAACGCAGCAGAGGGGCCTGCCAGGGTGTCCACCTTCAAACGCAGCAGAGGGGCCTGCCAGGGTGTCCACCTTCAACCCAGGGTGTCCACCTTCAAATGCAGCAGAGGGGCCTCTGGAGGAAAGGGCAGGTGCAGCCGGCATGGTGGGGGCTCTGCTCCGCTTGGGCTGGCTGGCTCCCCCGCACCCTCTAGAGTTCCTCTGCTTAAGCAAACCCTCCTTGCCGTCTGCTGTGTGAAATAGAGCCCCACTACACTGCAGCTGGAATTGGGGGGGGAGGGGGCAGAGGGGGAAGAGGCCCAGGGGAGAGGTGGGCAGAGTGTCCTGCCAGGGACATATTCTGGTGTCTCCTGATAACCTAGAGGTACTCAGTCTCTAGCCTCCAGTGTGCCCTGCGGCCTCTGTGAAATCCCTTAGGGCTCACAGGACAATCTTCTGTCCCACCAGGCCTTCAGCAAATACTGACACACCAGGGGTTACCTAACTTATTTCCAGCTCTGAATCCTTTTTGGACTTTTTTTTTTTTTTTGAGACGGAGCCTCAAGCTATCCCCCTGGGTAGAGTGCCATGGCATCACAGCTCACAGCAACCTCCAACTCCTGGGCTCAAGCAAGTCTCCTGCCTCAGCCTCCCAAGTAGCTGGGACCACAGGCGCCCGCCACAATGCCTGGCCATTTTTTGGTTGCAGCCATCATTGTTTGGCGGGCCCAGGCTGGGGATTCGAACCCGCCACCTTAGGTGTATGTGGCTGGCACCTTAGCCGCTTGAGCCACAGGCGCCGAGCCTCCCTTCTGGACTTTTTAATAACAAATGTGGCCAGGAATCCCAAACTGTTTACAGTAATGGAGGGGAATTATAAATATTTCTTTATTTATAAATAATAATAACTTTATTCAAGTATCTATGCAATTGCCAACAACTTTATATGCTTAATAATATTTTGAACTATTTTCCAAAGAGTTTATCTTAGCAAAGTTATAGAATCAAAGACTGGTTTGCAAAATATAGGACAGCCTATTGCAGGCATAATCTACAGCAGAATTTCTAGAATGAGACCAAATCCCCATTGTTTTAAGAAATTCTAAAAAGTAACCAATACAATAACCACTTTGAAAAGCGGCCTCGCACTTTCTCAAACTTAAACACCTCCCCTGTGACTCAACAATTCCACTTCTGGATATTTAACCAAGAAAAAAAATATGAACACAAAGTACAGAAACTGTTCATAGCAGCTTTATTCATAATATCCTCAAACTAGAAACAAATAGCAATAGGAGATAAATAAATAAACCGTGTATTCATACAATGGCGTACTTCTGAGCACACGAAGGAGAAAATACTACTGATCTGATCACCGACACGGACACATCTCACAAATACGAAAGCTAAAGGAAAGCAGGAGACGCGGAAGGCTGTGTGCAGGGGGCTCCACCCGGACAAGCCAGGAAAACTAACTTATTTTGAAAGAAATTGGAACAGGGGTTTGAGCACAGGAAAAATGAAGAGAGGCTGAAAGTTACGTGCTGAGTTGATGGACATGCCCGTATCTGCAGAGGGAAGGAGGTCACACAGATACATGCACTTGTCAAAGCAAAGTCCATGAGGCATCTTTAAAAGCCCAAGAAACTGTATACTTAAAGAGACCTGCACAAAAGCAAGACCCCATTGTCTAAAAACTAGCCAGGCTTTGTGGTAAGCGAGCGCCTGTAAGTCCCAGCTACTGGGGAGGCTGAGGCAGGAGGATCACTTGAGCCCAAGAGTTTGAGGTGCTATGAACTATGATACCACAGCAGTCTACCAAGGGTGACAGAGTGAAACTGTCTCAAAAAAAAAAAAAAAATCATAAGAGAAAAAAAATACCCAGCAAAGGTACACAGGGCAGGTGAGGGTGGAAGGGTGCGGCAGAGGGCGAGTCCCAGGGAGTGTGCAGATGCTGCTTTCTTCCTGTGCAGTTGCATTCCTGAGTCAAGACCCTGTCTTAGATTTACTTTTATCTATAACTTTAAGCAAATTTCTTTTTCTTTTTTTTGTAAAGACAGAGTCTCACTTTATCACCTGGGTAGAGTGCCATGGCGTCACACAGCTCACAGCAACCTCCAAATCCTAGGCTTAGGTGATTCTCTTGCCTCAGCCTCCCAAGTAGCTGGGACCACACGCCCGGCTATTTTTTGTTGCAGTTTGGCCAGGGATTAGTTTGAACCCGCCACCCTAGGTATATAGGGCCAGCGCCCTACCCACTGTACCACAGGCACCTCCCTCAAGCAAGTTTCTTAAGCTTTCCTCCTTTTTCCCTTGACTATAAACAGGAGATTTATTCTCATAAACACACTAAGAACAAATAAGTAAACAAAAGGGGTAGTATTCTTTGGTGATCAGTTACTATGAAAAAGAATCAAGATGCAGTTATTACTGCAGTATTGCAGTTATTACTGCAATACTAAGAATGTGACCCTAGAGTCTGATATTCATGTTTATATCAAAATACTGTTCAAAGTCATCATGGCTTCACTATTCGTATACCCACTAAGGACCTATGAAAAACAGAAATAAGGGAATCTCTGTTTCAAGCACAGAAGTAGCACACAGAGCAGAACCCAACCCCAGTGAGAGACAGCTACCTAACTCAGACAGGGAGTGAGGGCGTCCACGCACACTCTCTGCTCCAGCCGCAGGAGTCAGGACCAGCAAAGTGGGAGTCCAGCCTTGTAAATCATGTGCTAAGCACCACCCCCAAATCAGGAGTAGAGTGTCATAAGGGACAGGGATGACAACAGCTCATTCTGTTTGAAGGAACCAGAGAAGTGTCAGTAGAGGTGACAGCATGGGAGGGTCCTGGGGGACCAGCTAGGTACAGGCAGCAAGAGGGAACCACCACATGGGTCCCAGGCAGGGTGAAGCTCGGGATTCCTTTCAGGGCAGTGTAACTATCCTGTTCTATGATACTGCGATGGGACACGCGACGTTATGAATGTGCCCAAACTCTCAGAACCTTATTATACCACAGTGAATTTTAATGTACGCCAATTTAAAAAATCATTTAGGAGGTCAGGGACCTCGGGATGAAATCCAGACTGTGACAAAAGACTAACCGTATGACAAACACATGAAAATTTCTGCAGGAGGCAGGGAAAGGTGTCACCTGGGACACTCAGGCTGTGAGAGGGAGCTGCAGAAGAAAGGCGACACCAGCACTGTCATTTAGTTGTTTCCCACAGACTGTGACAAACAACGGTGAAACCGTCATACTCATACTCTGGAACAGAGGAGTTAAGTGACATACGGCAGAGGGGAAGGGCCAGGCTTCTCGCTGCTGGAGTGGAAGGTTCCAGATAAGCCAGGGAGGAAGCCAGAATGACCATGTGGGAGTCGATTAGAGGTGGACACCTGAGCATGAACTCACATTTAGTACAGATACAGTCACATGTAGAATATGCGTGGATGCCAGTGTATACGTGGGCGGGCTCACACAAAGATTTACCTGCTCCCTTGGTAGAGAGGGCCTGGCAGCCACACCCCAAAGGCCACCAGCGTATCTAACACCCAGGTCTTGGTTGTAATTTGTGGTACCATTCTCCACTAAAATAAAAGGAAGCAGGGCTGAGGCAGGAAATACACAAGATGAGCCTAGAGCATCTTGTATTGCCGGAAAGTAAGACGTATTCGAAACACATCCACACACGTATATGATGGGGCGTGTCAAAGGGACACAGGAACTAACCTGAAG